AAGTGTTTGGCCTGATTTCAGGAGAATTCCACTGATTTTTTTAAAGTTTCTGCATGATTCAATTGTTGTTATGTAAATAAATTCAGAGTGGTTTAATGTGAAATGCTTCATTATACACAAAACCTACTGACTTTCTTAATGTTAATGAAACTGGAATAACCATGTCTACAATGCAACTATAGCTATTTTATCTGATATCTAAAATGGCAAGTGAACCCACACGTGTTCACAATTAAAATCATTACTGAGAACCAGGTCAGTATAATATCTTCTGACTTCTTTGTTTGTTTGGCTTTTGATTTTAATTTTAACATTCAAGAAATAAAAGTTTAGTTTTAATAGTTTCTAAGCATGGATGCTACTGTCTGATGTCTATTATCAACACCATCACCAGCGTCCAGATAGATCTAGGCTACTTTGAAAGATACTGACCAGTTCTGAAAGATTTTTAAAGAAATCTAAGATCTATGATGAGTGATTTATCACTGACTGACTGTCAGCATTACAGTGATGTGTCTGTATATCTTCTACCTCAGATCCAGTGGAGGCACCAGCCCTGACTCACCAGCTAAGCAGAGACACCTGTAAAATCACCCTCACCTGTAGAGGTCATGACCTCTCTATCAACTCCAGCTGTTACAAGGAAACCTGTGAGGAGAAGGAAGTGACATCACCTGGAGGTGTCACCCTTTCCCTGTCTGTCAGTGGCAGCACCATCATCTGTAACCATAGCAACCCAGTCAGCTGGAAGATGGATGTTTTGGAGATGAGAGAACTCAAACGACTCTGTGCTGATGAAGGTGAAGGTGTGAACACAGATACACACAAACACTGCCTCACACACTTCCTCTTCCAAGTGAGGAAAAAGTCAACTAGCACCTGTAGAAGTCCAACAGAATGTAAACTGGAACAGTATTTTGATGTGATGATTGCTGTTTTTTAGAAATGATCACTTCGTAACTTGGAAGCTACAATGTAGCATTATTAGCATGAACTCAGCATCTTGATTACATTTCATTGCAGAAATCCGTCTCGAGTAACAGTTGTTTTTAGATAAACTCGTGTTAATGAGCTATTCACACTCGAAGGCAGTTGATCATCCAAAAAAACGGCACTGCATGCTCTCCACTAGTGCAGCTGGTATTGTGCTTATATATTTACACTTGTGTGCAAAAGTTTGGGCGCCCCGTTTAAATTACATGTTTTGTTGATGTTACGACTCAAGATAAGTTAACATTTTCTACGGAGAACACACTGCTGCACATTTTAAGACACAATTACACTTTGTGCTGAATTTTACATTTTGGGGAAAAAATAAAATGTGGCCTGTGTAAAATTTATTTTCATTTTTTTTTCCTTTTTTTCCCAATAAGTTAGAAAATAAATACAAATTGTGACTAAATACTAAGTTAAGTTTGTTCACTGTACATGATGTGTTAACTTAATTTCATTTAGAAAATCAACAAGACATGTTCAGAAAGAAAATAGATTGAAAAGTGAAACATATTATTTAGTCAGTTATTTTTAGTTCCTTTATATTTGGTCATCATAGAGAATTTTGTTGTGTGTTTCAGGTTCAGTGTTTCCTTCTGCTGGTGCATCTGTGTGTTTCCTGAAGACTGTGCTGTATTCCATCATGCTGACCCTCATGCTGTCTGCAGTCATCACCGTCCACATCAGAGAAAGACTGACCAAATCATCTTAAAGACATGGATGGTGTTACACAGTTCATTATAGCTGTTATAGTTACATAATACTCTATTATGTAATCTCTGATTATAATCTACTCTACTGTATAGCTGCACCCAACAGACTGTTATCAGTTACTACATCACTTTTTTTGCAGGCTGTAGCTGTACAGACCTCTAGCGTCACTGTTGTAGCTTCTCAGAAGTCAGCTGACTGAATGTACTAGAATACTGTATCTTGTGTAAGTAAATATTTTATTAGATGTATTTAAATGCATTTGTAAATAGTGTTTATGCACATGTTTACAAACATCACTAAAGATACTCCTGCTCTTCTCATGAATCTGTTTGATCAGTGATGCCCCAGTTTTTTGTTGGTGTTAAAATAGGCTTTTAATTGGGCTTAAATGTATGAGCAACATGATAAGTGCTGGCAGTAATTATTACTGTAGTGGTGGAACTCAGGCTACTAATGAAGTGAAGACTTCTGCAGTATCTGGCTCAAAACTGCCTCAAAGATTTCTCAAACTGGCATTCAAATCTTTTTTACATCATTGTCCAGATAAGCCATTTTAATTTTTTGGCAGAATACTGCATGATACGATATGTCAAAATCAAAGCACAGAGCAGACAGAGACACTAACCACAGAGGAAAACCAACAGGAACTGATAAGTATAAAAAACCTCAATATCTATCAGGCACACAGTAAAAACATATGAAGACACAATGATGCTTTACAGTTCGACTACTTAGTTATTTATCTTTTCATCAATCTGTTCATTCTATCTATTTATTTATCTATTCATCAATCTGTTCATTCTATCTATCTATCTATCTATCTATCTATCTATCTATCTATCTATCTATCTATCTATCTATCTATCTATCTATCTATCTATCTATCTATCTATCTATCTATTCATCAATCTGTTCATTCTATCTATCTATCTATCTATCTATAATGCTAGCATTATTAATGTGTATACTAGCCACTAGAAAACCAGACTCTGTTGTGCTCATGCTTTACACTTTAAAAGAAAAATGTAAAGTTTGCTTTAGTTTACTTATGATTCTGGGTAACTGTATGTATCTGTATGAGTGGTGCGCAAGTGTAAATTAGTTAAGAGTCTGATAGAGTCTGTTAATATGCCACATATATTCAGTTACAATGCTAATTTAGAGCTACCTAGAGAGCTTAGTTAGTTGTCTATATGCATTCATTTATGAGAGATTCATTTATGTCAGATTCATGAAATGAAATGAAATTATCAAGTGAAGCCAACACAAAGGGCGATTAATCTGCTCTTCTTTGTCATCATAGGAGGCAGATTTCATCACACAGTGGATGTGCAGGTGGAATAAATACAGTTTCAGTTCAGAATAAACCCCAATCAAAAAATAATTCTGTGTTGTGGAGAGACTCAGCATCTGCGCTGCAGTGTAGTATTTTCACTTCCATATACAGAACAGCGTGAGAACTAATGAAGAGGAACCAGACTAACCGCAGGAAAACCAACATGAGCAGACTGGCATTGGAAAAAATCACGTCAAAGTCTGTGAGGCACGCAACAAAACAAGAAGACATAATGATGCTTCACAGTTCTATGAATTAGTTGAATGATCACTGAGGATGATTCATTCTGTATTAAACTGTAGGGGTGGAGGAAAAATAGATTCTTGGATGCATTGCGATGCGGACATGGATGATTCTGAATCGATTCACAAATTTCAAAAAGAAATGTTTTTCTAAATATTTAATTTGTAACGTAATGTTGACGGAACGCAAAAGGCGGAACCTGAAAGTGCGAAAGTGCAGCGCCCGGACAGTCTGTGATGTGCACGTAACAAAAACACAACTGGATGAGTGAGAAATCCGAGCGGCACACATTAAAAGCCAGGTTAGGTCAGGAGTCACAACACAAAATGTTAAGAAGAGCCATTTTGTCCTTTCAACAAAAACAAAAAAAACCTTGGGAGCCACAACATTTAATGTCCAGTATGTCTCAGTGTGTGCTAAAGTCCTAGTATTGGTTAAAAAATATAAACGAAAATGCAGACAGACTTTGCTCTGCTTTCAGCTTTAGCTATAGCCGCTTTCCTCCCTCCACCAGAAAACTTTTCTTCAAAAGTAGAACAGCTTATTTTAAAACGCCTCTCAACGTTCGACTGTTTTATGAGGTTGAAGTCGCTTCTCATTCTCCAGCTTCTTCTTCTTCCCATTCCACCTTAAATTCTGCCTGACGCACCAGAATGTAAATGTGGCACCATTTCAGGTGGAATGGGACCATTCGAAAGAGAAGCGACTTCATTTTTGCAACGTTTCAATGTTTGACAGTCTCTCGTTGCAGATTTAACATACCAGGAAACCAACTGCAGTGCTTATAAATGTGATAGAAGTCCATTCGTCTCCAAATGTTCATCTTAAATCTATCTCTTTGTCTTTTCATTAGCTACTAGCCAAGCGAGACTGTGTTGCTAGGTGACATGCAATCTGCACGACAGAGAAAAAGGGACCTGAATAAGAGCCACACTATATGCAATTGTGCCATGCTAAACTAAAATAAATTGGAAACGACAAACATGAGAAACCATATTACATGTTTCCACCCATTTTCCATCCAGCTGTACTTGCTGCCAACCAGAGGACCATCGAGCAAGCGATGTCAAAGCTTCCACCAAACTTGTAGGTGAATTGCAAACTCTATCGTAACTTTTATTGCCAAGGATTTGCGTCCGTTCTCAGTCATTGAGAATGCTATATTGGACACTTTGGAGCCGAGATAGAGCGTCCCGTCTCAAAGATATTTTACTGACACAGCGACTGCCCCCCCCCCTCTCACAACGAGACCAAAACCAAACATGTGCTGAGTGGACATCCATTGCTACAGAGTCTTATGTCACTGTAACTGCATTTTATCGCAGATGAGTGGCAGCCTGCGTCACTTCCATTTGTTTTATTAATAAAAGACATTGGAAGTAAATTTATTATGGATTATTACAAATACTTTGCTTTGAAAGTATCAACACACAGTGAGAAAATACAAATCCTGTAAAGAAAAAAAAGCATCAAGATGCATCGATAATCGTTTTATAATCGCATCGCAGCCTCTGAATCATAATCGACTCGTGAGGTGCCTAGAGATTCCCACCCCTATTACACTGCATTTTCCAGTGTGAAATATTTCGTCACATTGAACTTATAAGTTCTGCGTTAACGTCAGCGCACAAAAAAACTGTCTGAGACAAAACTTCCTCTTTCGTTCTAAAGTGAACATCAGCACATTAGAAGACCTCTCTGAGGGAGTGGGGGGGGGGTTCAGAATATCATCCATCAGTATAAAAGAGAAAGTATGTCACTTTGTTTGCAAAGGCGATGATGCTGCAGCTGATCTTTGTTCTCTCCACTCTGATCTCAGTCACAGGTAAACAATTCTCTGAACTTCATCACTATAGAGGTTAAAATGTTTGAGAATGTATCGCTTTTGAGACTCTCTGTCAAATAAAGAGTGTAAGTGGTTGTAGCAAGTGTGCATTGTCTGATGACCTGAATAGAATTTGTGCTGAACCATATTATTTTGAAGTGTACAACATATTTTAAGACGTGTAGATCTCTGTTAATGTCACTGGTGAGCTGAATAAGTAAGTTAAAAGGAGGTTTAATCCTCCATACATATAAAACGCATAATTTACACATCAAATTCATTAAAATGTGCAGAAGTAGAGGATGTGTTCAGTCACTGTGTTCTCTGTAGAGGATGTGTAACTTATTTACATTAAAAAATTAACAAAATGTATCATTTGATGAAGGATGCACACACATTTGCATATGACTGCATATTAAATAACAAAAACAAAAGTGTCTGAATGCTTGTTTGTCTGCAGTTTGTATTAACAGACAGTATAACGGTCTTACTAGTCATTAACATGCCACACAGTGACAGATCATGATAAAGAAATCACAGTGTAACAAAATATCTTTATGGTTTAATATTTTCTCATTTTTTCTCTACACAGTGTCCTGTGATGAGTTCAGATTGGTTGGTGGTTCTGTTCAACTGGATACACAGGAACCCTTGCCAGACTTTGATGACTTATTCTGGGTGTTTAACAGAACTAACAATGTTCTAAAATATAATAAGAAATATAAAGATAGTACACTCTATTCCCATTACAAAGGCAGAGTGGAGTTCAATGAGGAAACCTACAGTCTGACACTGAAGGACTTACAGAAGACTGATAGTGGACCGTATGAAGCAAAAGCATCTGGTGATGAGGTCAGAGTCGTTGCTAAATACGCGCTGTCTGTGTTGGGTAAGTCTTATAGAAAATCAGTCAGTTAGAGGAAACACACTGTCTTGACAGGAAGCTGTAATTTTTTTTAAACTGTGTTTTTCCACCTGCTACCAGGAGACACATACCCAAATAAATTAAATCTTTTGTACCTAAAGGGAAATAACACTGATTTTTCAAAATTTCAGCCAAAGTAAATAGTTATGATAGTAAACAAAGCCATTCAGAGTGGTTTGATGTGAAATGCTCCATTCTGGAGAAACTACAGAGTCAAACATGACAAAATACAATCTTACAGTAAAAGTTTTGTTGTTTAGTAAAATGTTTATTTTCCTACAGGGTGAGGGGGTGGAGTTAGGGTAACTTTCTGGTGGACCATAGCAAATTTGTTTACAGGCAAACTTTGGCCAAAAGGCCACACTTTGAGAGGTACATGCAGGATGTTTTAAGGAAAACAGTCCCCAAACTTTTTTTTCAGGTTTAACACTATTAGTATAAACAACATTACATATAAAACTTACAAGACAAGTGTAGGTTCACTGGTGGTTTTGGATAGTAAATAAAATGGCTGATATTTGTAGCCATCCTGGCCCTGGTTGCTGTACCTGACACTGTAAAGAAAACAGAGCTGGTGAAGTTCTATATATCAAACTATTTCACATCAAATAATTCTGAAAGATTCTTTTATGTCTCAATGATTGAAATATGCAGATTTGAAAAATCAGTAGAATTTCTCTTTAAAATATTAATTATCTCACATTACTCAACTATTTGGCTTAGTGGAACTTTTTTGATGAATTCTTGTTTTCAAAGATTGTATCTATTTGCTTTCTGGGCGTGTCTTTCCTCTTGTTTTACTTACCTTCTCTGTGTTGTCTTTACTCCTTGGCTATGTTATCTTGGATAGGTGCTTGCTTAAACACTTGGTTAACCTTAGGGGTAACATTGTTTTTATTCAGTTTGCAACATTCTCTATTACAAAGTGTGGTGCCAAACTAATTGGACACTGCAGTGTCCACTTTTAAACAGATTATGAAAAGATAACTTGGACCTACAAAAGTTAAATCACCACCAGAAAATTCAGTTCATTTAACTTTAATGAACTGAGATGGAAACGTGATGGCAGATTACATTTTGCCAATTTATGAAAATTATATTGGATGAACAAATTTGCAAGTGTGGAAATCAGTTAACAATTCAATTAAGTTCAGGCAAAGAACTGAGAAAAAAAAACCATCAGAGCTTCTTTCCTAATATTGCTCCCTTCTTTGGACTGTCTATAGGTTGTAACTGTAGTTGTTGATGGAGCTACACAGTTCATGTCAGATTCTTGCTCCTCTTAACAAGCTGTCTGCTCCTGACTGGATCACACACACACACACACACACACACACACAACTTCTAAGCCGCTTATCCTTCTGGGTCGTGAAGGGAGATAGAGCCTATCCCAGCAGTCGTTGGGTGGAAGGCAGGATACACTCTGGACAGGTCTTGCCTGGATGGACAATCCAGATTAGAAAAAAATCCTGAAACACATTCAAATCAATTTTTCTTGTCTGTTTTTCCTGTACAATCTCAGTCACTGTCATCTCCACAGTTAACAGATGAAATTAATAAGGAGTTAAACCTTCTACCTGGAGTCACCTGAAGAGTCTATTTGTTGGAATGTTCTCTTTTAATACTACAGCTAGTTGGTCCACTCTGTAGGCTACTTTAAACACCACCACTGGACATGTCATTGGTGTTCATTCGTATATCCTCTGAAACAGCTAAACACAAATGTATTTATTTTCTGCTAAATGTGTGAAGGATACATTTAAAGCTGTATATAACTTTCAAAAAAAAGTGCTAAAATGTAAACCAAAATTTCAATTATAAAGTAAAGCCTTAAAATTAATGTAAGTTTGAATTATTAGTGATTAAAAGTGGAATTCCACTGATTTTTTTTAAAATTCCTGTATATTCTTGTACATTCAGTACTGCACAAAATCATTGAGTGGTTTAATATGACACTGTTAATTATAGAGAAACTTACTTACTTTCTTTGCAGTAGTGGTGACAGGAAACAGGGGTCACAATGTCTACAACACAAAAAGAGTCATTTTATTTTCTATCCATGACCAATGACCAGTAAGCCTACCCTTGTCTTCTGAGATTATATATGTAGTGCTAATATGGTTAAATATTAGTCAATCTGAAATAAATACGTTTTCTGGGGGGCCCATTTTGCCTTACAACACCCTGCACATAATTCACCATCATGAATATATTTTAGATTTACACTTTTTTTACTCATTTGTCTCTAAGGTCTAATATCAACACCATCACCAACATCCAGCTGGATCTCAGCTAATAAAGATACTGACCAGTTCTGAAAAAAACTTTTACTGATCTGTGATGAGTGATTTATCACTGACTGACTGTCAGCATTACAGTGATGTGTCTGTATATCTTCTACCTCAGATCCAGTGGAGGCTCCAGTCCTGACTCACCAGCTAAGCAGAGACACCTGCCACATCACTCTCACCTGTAGAGGTCATGACCTCGCTCTCAGCTCCAGCTGTTACAAAGAAACCTGTGAGGAAAAGGAAGTCACATCACGTGGACGTGGCACTCTTTCCCTGTCTGTCAGCGGCAGCACTATCATCTGTAACCATAGCAACCCAGTCAGCTGGAAGACGGATGTTTTGGAGATGAAGGAATTGAAACGACTCCGTGCTGATAAAGGTGCAGACACATACTCAAACATGTACTTAACCAGTTAGTAACATTATAATTCATTTGAGTGTGACAAACAAAAGTCGCTCTCTCTTACTGAGTCTCTCACAGACTCCCTGTGTCTGACACACACTGTTAAAACTCATATTCTCAAGCATTGTGTGGGACAAACAGCAGGTGCTGCTATATACTCAAATAAATATAGCGACACAGTCGTCCTCCAGTGTAGGCCAAACATATAAATAATGAAAGAAAGCAGAAAATGCATTCATTAAAACAGTCCTGGGTCTTAAAGAGAAAATTCTAATAACAGGTGCAGAAACACAGTGGTGTTTATTTACTGTGTATTTATTAAAGCTGTCTATCAGCTTCAGATTCTCACCTTCCAGTATAATCAGTGTTATTTAGCTCCATTTAACTCTTCCAGGTGACGATAAAGTCACCAAGCACCAGTACAAGTCCACCAGAATGTTAAATGGAAGAGAATTTTAAAGTCTTGATTGCCATTTTTAGGATTATCACTTCATGAATTGGAAGCTATAGTGATAGCATTAACACGAATGCTAGCAGCTATAAAACAAGTATATTTTGCTCATATTACACCCTATTGTAAAATGTAAAGTTTGCTTGACTTTACACCTGATTTCAGGTAATTAGATATTTGTGTAAGCGGGTTTTCAGGTATAAATCAAATAAGAGTCTGATAGAGTCTGTTAATATGCTACATATCATACCGTTGAATGTGCAGGTTGAATAAATTCAGGAAAAACAGTTTCAGTTCAGAATGAACCCAAATCAACATATAATTTCTATCTGCTCTTCTGTGTTGTGGACAAATTCAGCATCTTCCTCCTGATTAAATTTCACTGCAGACAGTCATACATACACACATATATATATATATGCACCAATTTGTGCACCAAATTGGCAGAAAAAAATGCTTTATTTAAATATGTTGCCTGTAGAGGAGTTGCTAACTTATTTTCACTCATCAAAAAATCATCAAAAAAGTTCTCCTGCTGTGAAGAAAGCCTCACCTACATGCCTCACTCATCCTCTTGATGATACGGTTACCTGCACAGTATTTCACTCACCTTACAATGTACTGAGTTCTGCACGTATTCATGCCAACATATTGTCATGGTGGGCTTAACGTTCATTGGTTTAATTCTCATTTTCACTTTGATACTGCTAACAGCAGTCATGGGTTTTCCTAGATCTATTTCTTGTTTGTTGCTCTGATAGGCCTCTAACAGTAGTCACTGGTTACCATTAAATACTATAAATTCTTCTGTACAATGACAGGCTGATTTCCTTGAAACAAGTTAGTTCTTTTCTATTTGGTCATCATATTTAATCCAACAGTGGTTTTTGTTGTGTGTGTTTCAGGTTCAGTGTCTCCCTCTGCTGGTGTGTCTGTGTGTTTCCTGAAGACTGTGCTGTATTCCATCATTCTGACCCTCATGCTGTCTGCAGTCATCATAGTTACATAATACTCTATTCAGTAATCCCTGATTATAAATCTATCACATGGGACAAACAGCAGGTGCTGCTATACATTCAATTAAATATAGCGACTATTCTGTAATCTCTGATTATAATCTGCTGTATAGCTGTATCTAACAGGATGTTATCACTTGAATGCACTACAATATTGTTTGTTGTTTTTCATAAATGTTTTATTAGATGTATTTAAATGCATTTGTAATTACTATTTATGCATATGTTCACAAATATTGCTAAAGATAAACCTGCTCGTTTCATGAAGCCGGTTTAATCAGTCATACCTCAAAGACAGCACATTTTAAGTGGAGGTTCTAGTGGACCTTTAAGCTTGAGTAAATAAGCAACATAAGACTGAAATTGAAACTCAAGGCTAAATTGGAACTTAAACTGAAGAAAAAACTTGAAGTAAAGATTTCTGCAGTAGCTACCTCAAAGCTGCATTTAGATTTATATTTTTTAATTTATATTTATACTTTGATATATATGGAATGAACATTGATGTATATACAATGAACGTTGATAAATATGGAATGAATACTGATATGTATTTAATAATTCTTGATGTACATGGATCAAACTTTGAGATAAAAAAATGAATAATGTAATTCATAAAATGTTTTGTTCAAACAGAGAGGGACTTTCGGGGTTGTGTGTGTTGTAGCCTCAGCCCTCCCCCACTTGCTAAACAGACTATTTATGTTGTTATTTAATGTTGTTATGTTGTTGTTCTTCAGTTACAGTGTGTGTTTGTGTTTACTGTGTTATTTTGTGTCCAGCTCAGAGTTAGTGAGAGTGCGTTTGTGTTTGGTGACCATCAGAAGAAAGAGTAGGGCTAGGAGTGACCTACCTCAATTTTCAGTTGCTTTTTAAGTGGCATTGTTTTCCCTTGTTCTCCATAAAGAGCATTTTTCAAACAGAAATGATGGCCTCATCTGACTCTTCTTCTGCACCATGTCAAATTATGTATGTATTGAAGCTCCACCCATATCAGCCACTCTCAGATCAC